CATAAGATATGGAGAATTTTTATTCAAGTGTCATCATCCATACCAAAAAAAAGTGAAGAGTAACTTTGCGGTCGCAATATATGGTCGTAATCTACCGCAGTTCCCCACCCATTACCCCTTCGTCCTTTCATTATTCTTGTATTATGAGATGTTCTGGGCTAAGTATTTACTGTTCCATGTTATTTGATCACTAATATTTGAATTTTATTCATTTTGTAGGAATATAACATTGAGGAGAACGCACTCAAGTGGACTTTTTAGGTCTTACACTTTATTGCCATTTTGGCCACCACCTTCAGCTTAACTAGGAAAGTCTTCAATTTTTGCTCTTTGCCTCTCTCTTTGCATACATAGTGCTAATTTTCGTACATTAGGAACAATGTATGTTTTAAGCTTGGGGGTATAATATTATCATTGATTGTGTTATATATAGAAAATGTTTTTACTGATTTTGTTTGCCTGTGTGAGTTAGATAGACTTACCGGCAATGATGCATACTCAAATTATGTGTTAAATAAGATGGTGAAAAAATTACAATTTGGGATTTATTAATGGTTATTTATGTGAAATTTGATCTTCTTTGCGCACGATGGACTTATTGACAATGATGCATACATTCAACTTACGTGTCAAACTAAGAATGGTGAAAAATATTACAATTTGGGATTAATGGTTATTTACGTAAAAGGATATGCTACTGGTGCATAATTATGAACATGTTTGGGAGTGATTTTTTCCTCCCAAAAAATTGATTTTTTGACCGTTATTTAACTATTCCAGTTGTCATATTTGACTTCATCTCTCGTAGATGGACCCCACTTTTCTCCTAACGATCAAAAAATCAATTCTCAAAATCACTCACAAACAGGTTCTATATGTACATAAAGGTGTCTTCTCTCACATGGGGGGCCCACTAGAATATTTTATTCATGTGGAGTCCACCCTCATGTGAGAGGGTGGACAACCTTATGTACATATAATTATGTATCATTAGCATTTTTCTTACGTAAATCTTGATCACGAGACACGTGTGTGTGTGTGTGTTTTTTTATTTATTTTTTTATTTTTCAGAATAATTGTTGTGGTTTTATGGTTCTCATGTTGGAATAGGTTGAAACTAGTAGAACTTAGTTGTTAAAATCAAGAAATACCACTATTATATACATTCATAAACCAATTTTAGGATAGTCTGGATATAATCGAACTAGTGTAGGAAGACATTGATATAATTAATGATTCCATACATTAAATTCTTGCGTAGATTGTCTAAGATCAATAAGATGAAAACTATGTTAAAATCTTAAGTTAAGGGTCGATTTTTGATAATAAGGTACATTGCATTATTAATCATGGCAAAAAGGGAAAAAACTGTCTCATTATGAAACGTCTTTTCGTAGCTTTTATGACTCGAGTAATTAAGCTTACAAGCGTATTTGAAACTTGATGTCTTATGGTCACTTGACTTGGAAGTTGTCGATTAAAAGCTCACTATAAGGGTCATTTAGAAAGTTTAATGGAGAGAAGTCCGCACATAAGAATTGATTAAAAGAAAAAATAAAATACTACATATTTCATTAGGTCCAAAACACTTGTTTGAATGAACTCGACCTTTAATAAGAGATAATTAGCCTAGTTGAGTCTTAGAGGTTAAGCAGTCGAAATATTGGAGACTCCTTATTTTTGCAGTGTTTAACTACTACTAGTGACTTTTATCCATGCTAGAGAGAGTTAGGATCATCTGAAATTCAGTCTAGGGGAAAATGAGTGAAAATAATAAGTTTGGAGTTGTGTATCTAAAAAGTGAAGAAATGAGACATTTGACCAATGAGAATCAAGAATTGAACCAAGCATGAGTTTGTGATGTTTTATATAAGTCTTCATATGTGTAAGGTGGAGATTCATTCTTCTATATGATTTTGAACTATTTTTTGTATTGATACAGAAATTTCAATCATGAGACCAACCTATGCTATCTAACCAATTGTATTTTGATTTAGGCTATAGTTTATGTGAGCACAAACAAATATTCAAGTTTGGGGGTTTGATAGCTGTATCTTAAATACTTATTTGGGCCTTTAAGTTAAAGTATTATTGGTTATCTTTATGAATTATGGCTTAATTTGATTTGTATTGTGTTTGTTAGGTACAAAATTACATAAATGATGGAACTAAAGAAAAAGTTGAAATATGGCTCAACTGTAAGAGATCTAAAGTTTGGGGATTAAAGTGCAAATTCTCAAAAGTTGTGCCGGACCTTAGATGAAGATTCAAAGTTAAGGGTAAATTGAATGAGAAAAGAAGTCAATGGGGTGAAATATTGTCACAAAGTGTTATCAAACATCAATTTCTAGTCGAAAAAGTTATGCTTTGAATATTCAGCCCCAAATTAAGACCTTTTTTGGCATAGTAAACATTTGAATTGAAAAAATGATACTTCTAGAAGAATTGTAACCCTTTAAGTTAACTCTTCAAAGCACTTTGAATCATCTCAATCGAATATCGTGAGAAAAAATTATGAGAAAAATACTGATTGATGGTTAACCAGGCACACACCTACATGTGCACGCCTCACCCCTCACCCAGGCCACCTGAGGCCAAATTCACCCTTCTAGGCGCGCATCTTGAAGAACTCCAAAGGAAAATAATTCTATTTTCTTTTCATGACTCGGTAAGTTTTGATATGATATTTTATGCATCTTTTATAGCATGAAAGAGGTCCAAAACGTGGGTTATTTTATTATTGAAGGGAGGCTAGCAAATGATGAAGAAGAATTCTACAAGAAGATTTGAAGATTCAAGGCCCAGATTGAAGATTTTCATGCATGAAATCAAGTTTTCGAGTTTATCTATTTCTTTGCTTCGAATGATGTCTTTCCATATCTTTTTGTGTAATTTGAATATCATAATGCTAGGCTAAATTTATTTTGTATTGGACGAATGATGAAATCTATTGCTTGTCGTTTTTAATTCATAGATTAAGTATTTTAGTGAATTCTTGAATTATTGATTTCTTATGCATACTTACTTCATTGTCTGAATGCTTGATCAGCAATTAGACAATTAGTAGCTTATTGTAGGGTTGAAAGACTTACAATGGATTAGAATATCACATATTTGACACATGGACAAGAGGGGTCAAGAATAACATTTAAAGTGTATGCAATCTATAATGTTATCATGTGATGCAATACCTTTTTTACATATGAATTCAAATTAGGAATATGATCGAGTCAAGCTCAGGTTAGGTTTAATATATTTTGAAAAAGAATATTAGACACTAATGAGTTATAAATTGTCATGAACACTTAGAAGAAACTTGTATAAGTTGAGAATTAAAAATATAGATCAATATGTGGATTCTGAAATCCAATACATGCATCGCATTATTTGATAAAAACTAATCTTTCACAGTATTTTTCAGCTTAATTTGGAATAATTAAAAAAAAAATCAATTCTTTTGTGTTGCATAAAATCAATAGGAGATCGATGGAAAAATTGTACTTAACAATTAAGGAAAAGTTTGGACTTGCGTGTAATATTATTTTACTGAAGAATGTGCGGTTAAAATTTTTTTTTAAAAAAAATGAAGATTTAGAAAAATGAAGCTCAAGCAGGCTTATTATTACAATTATTCCTCGTGTGACTATATTTTAATTTACTAAATTTATTATTTGTCAACTGTCTCTTACATTTGCGAATTTTGTCTGAACATAACTAATCAATCATTTCGGATGACTCCTACTTTGGGTACATGGTGAGGAACTGGAGAAGGCCTCCTAGATCTACAGAATTAAGCCTGAATGAAATGTGCGCTTTTAGGCAAGAGTAGTCGCTCTCAAGAATTCGTTTTGCACATTTAACCGAGCAATGGGGTTGCCCAAGTCCTCGTCTTCATTGTCCATGATTTCGTAAGCCCGTGTCTTGGGACTTAACAAGGGCCCCATCTTTAGACGCCTCCTCAAGAGCCTCTGTAAGCTTGTGCTCTTACAATTTTCATAGAATTGATGGTTCCACCAAATGAAAGATGCTAATCCATCAATCCCTTTAGAAATCTCTTTGGATTAGTTCTATTTTGAGTTTTGAGGTTGAGGTGGTTTATGAGTAAGATTGTGTTTTAGGAGGTGGAGAGAGTAGCAACAAATGATGACTAACAATTTGTGGTGGGTGGGATGAGTTTTACTGGTTCGATTTTGCTATTTGTACATAAAAAAAATATATATAATAAACTGCATAACATGATACAGAGGGAAAAGATTGGACAAAAAAAATTGATTATTTTAAATTGTCAAATTATATAACGTCATGTGATATTATATAAACCATTATGTAAATCTTGATATACATGTAGCATGATCCTTGCTGGCTTGGTTGTTGAGGTGGGATGGGATAGTGTAGGGCGTTGGAGAGGCTGGTTCCTTTTTTATTTAATTATTATTTTTATTCTTCAATGTTATAAATAAAAAATAACCATTTTACCCTCTTTGAAACTGTTAAAAATTTGATCAAACTTAATTTTCTAGTCAACTAATGAACAAATGGATGAATTCCATCTATTTGCACTTCAGCCGCAAGCACTTGAAATGTTTGGGATCAAGGATGCAACAAATGAAAGGTTAAGGTAAAGGCTGCAAACTTTAAAAAATTTAGGACTGTGACTATAATTATCTTTAACATTAATTATGATTTCCAAGTAGTAAAATTCAACATCGCTTTTTACCCTTCCTATTAAAAAGAAAAAAAAAATGCTAAATAGAATAGCAAAACTGGCAAAACGTGTGACACGAACGAAAGTATATATTCACACGACATAACTCATCACATTTAAATTCCCAATAAATGCAAGCATATAGTGTATTTTCTTGAATTAGCCTTTTCGAAATCTTTCTCGTTGCACTTTTAGTTTATTTTCTCGTACGTAAATACTATCTTTATCTATGGCGTGATAGTTGGAATTTAGTGCAGCATGGCAATGGCAGATGAGAGTTACCAAAATGTTAACATGAAAATGAAGAGGAAGTCATTGCATCTGCACAACTTACTGCAATCATCCTCCACAATATAATTCACCAACTTCAAGATACCTCCACCATTCTTGCAGTGATAAGATTTTTGTGAAGCTAAATTGTTTCTTCTCAAATGCATCTTATCCAGGACAATTTATGAAACAAATGTTTTTTTATTAGGGATACAAAAAAATACTGTGGAGATATGATAGTTCACCATCAGAAATTAACATACCAGATATTTGGGAATATCTCTACTATTGAAGCTGTGAAACTTCTGCAATTAATAAAATCCAAACAGCCGATCGACGATGGTAAATGATTGTTGGTCAGATTGGATACAGCTAATGCTCTTCATCCCCTCCCTGTCCTGCTTTACAATAATAGAAGGTCGAACAGAAAATAAAATTCACTGAAACATATTTGTTCAAGAGCCCAAGGAAAATTCAACTTTGAAATTTCACCAGAAGATGGATATGCTGCACTAACTTTTAACGAAGAAATCACTATCTTTCACAAACCGCAACTTAACTATGTACTTTAAAGCACTTCAGATTTGGGAACAGCTGAAGAAGTTCATCACGGGTTCGTCTCTGAAGTAAAAATATAGACTGTGTTATAGATGGCAAAAGTAATGGCAGCATATATAAGCATATGCTCGAGTGCACAGAGCTGGTAAAATTTCTGATGGCCGTACTTGCCACACTTCATTGAATTACCTTGCTGCTCTTTTTTTTTTTTTTTTGGGCAAGCAGAGAGAGAGAGAATTTAAGATTCTGTGACACAATGCCAAAATATTCATTTCTAACAAACGTAACTCATCTACCTTTATGCCAATGCAATCATTGACATCAAGGGTTGTAATTGTATTTGAACAGAAGCTAGAGAGGGCCTCCAGGCTCTTGTCAGTACCTCCAACAATCCCAAACAAGCTGCAGTATCAACAGTAACAGATATAATATTAAGAACGACTTGACAAAATGTCCAGGGTGGGTTAACAAAATGTTTTATAGTGGTCAATTTCCATAGATGTAAACAAGTTGCAAGAAAGCAGTAAAGAACAAACCATATGTTTGTTCTTGCAATTGATAAAAATCAATTAGGTCCCATCAGGTGAGCGAGCAATAACTGCAGAGTTCTGGCTCTTTATGCACACTCTTCATTTATTCCAAAGTTCTTAAACCAAAACAGTCATGCTCTCATATTACCGTTGGACAAAGAGATTACCCTTTTTCAATATATAAAGCTATTTTTTACCCAAACTGAACAAAATAGATTCAGTTAACAGAGAAATCTGAATTCACCATGAATAGATCATTTTGGATTATATAATAATTAAATAACTAGTATCGTATGTGGCTAATTAACAGAACCATGGGAACCACTCAAATAGCTGCGATTAATGATGTCAATGTTCATTTATTTAATATTCACCTAAGAATTTCTCGTGCCGTATCCAATCAACCCGCCGAATTTCGGCCCATTACGACACTGTCGCGACAAATGATAAAATTGCCCCTGGTGCGGTTTTGCGTTGTTAATTTTCTCTCCAACACTTCTTCAACATGACATAATTAATACGAAAATTAATTATTCGGAGGTCTAAACGAAGAAATTTGGCTAAAATTCCATGATCCCGGGTCTATGCCCCGATTCCAATTTCTCGGGTCATTTCCAATCAACCCGCAAAATTTCGGCCCATTCCGACACCGTCACGACAAATTTCAAAATTTCCCCTGGTGCGGTTTTGATTTGCGAATTTTCTGTCCAATTTTATTTCTTCAACCTGACAAAATTAAAACGAAAATTAATTATTCAGAGGCATAAACGAAGGAATTTGGATTAAATCCCGTGATCTCGGGTCTGTGCCCCGAGTCCAATTTCTCGGGCTGTTTCCAATCAACCTGCCGAATTTCGGCCCATTCCAACACCGTCGCGGCAAATGACAAAAGTGCCCCTGGTGCGGTTTTGCTTTGTTAATTTTCTGTCCAACACTTCTTCAACCTGACATAATTAATATGAAAATTAATTATTCGGAGGCCTAAACGAAGGAATTTGGCTTCAATCCCGTGATCACGGGTCTGTGCCCCGAGTCCAATTTCTTAGGCCGTTTCCAATCAACCTGTCAAATTTCGGCCCATTCCGACACTGTCGCGACAAATAACAAAATTGCCCCTGGTGCGGTTTTGCGTTGTTAATTTTCTGTCCAACACTTCTTCAACCTGACCAAATTAATACAAAAATTAATTACTCTGAAGTCTAAACGAAGGAATTTGGCTTAAATCCCGTGATCACGGGTCTGTGCCTCGAGTCCAATTTCTCGGGCCGTTCCAATCAACCTGTCAAATTTCGGCCAATTCCGACACTGTCGTGACAAATGACAAAATTTCCCCTGGTGCGGTTTGCGTTGTTAATTTTCTGTTCAACACTTCTTCAACCTGACGAAATTAACACAAAAATTAATTATTCGGAGGTCTAAACGAAGGAATTTGGCTTAAATCCTGTGATCCCGGGTCTGTGCCCCGAGTCCAATTTCTCGAGCCATTTCCAATCAACCTGCCAAATTTCGGTTCATTCTGATACCGTCGCGACAAATGACAAAATTGTTCCTAGTGCAGTTTTGCTTTGTTAATTTTCTGTCTAACACTTCTTCAGCCTGACATAATTAATACGAATATTAATTATTCGGAGGCCTAAATGAACGACTTTGGTGAAAATCCCGTGATCTCGGGTTTGTGCCCCGAGTCCAATTTCTCAGGCCGTTTCCAATCAACCTGCAAAACTTCGGCCATTTCGACACCGTTGCGACAAATTTTAAAATTGCCCCTGGTGCAGTTTTGATTTGCAAATTTTCTGTCCAACACTTCTTCAACATGACATAATTAATACGAAAATTAATGATTCGGAGGTCTAAATGAAGGAATTTGGATTAAATCCCGTGATGCCAAGTCTCGGTCCCCCGAGTCTAATTTCTTGGGCCGCTTCCAATCAACCTGCCGAATTTCGGCCGATTACAACACCGTCGCGACAAATGACAAAATTGCCCCTGGTGTGGTTTAGCGTTGTTAATTTTCTGTCCAACACTTCTTCAATCTGACATAATTAATACGAAAATTAATTATTCGGAGGCCTAAACGAAGGAATTTGGATAAATCCTGTGATCTCGGGTCTGTGCCCTGAGTCCAATTTCTCGTGCCGTTCCCAATCAACCTGCCGAATTTCGGCCCATTCCGACACTGTTGCGACAAATGACAAAATTGCCCCTGGTACGGTTTTACGTTGTTAATTTTCTGTCCAACAATTCTTCGACCTGGCATAATTAATACGAAAATTAATTATTCGAAGGCCTAAATGAAGGAATTTGGCTAAAATTCCGTGATCCCGGGTCTGTGCCCCGATTCTAATTTCTCGAACCGTTTCCAATCAGCCTGCAAAATTTCGGCCCATTCCGACACCGTCGCGACAAATTTCAAAATTTCCCTTGGTGCGATTTTGATTTGCTAATTTTCTGTCGAACACTTCTTCAACCTGACATAATTAATACGGAAATTAATTATTCAGAGGCCTAAACGAATGAATTTGGATTAAATCCGGTGATCCCGGGTTTGTGCCCCGAGTCCAATTTCTCAGGCCGTTTCCAATCAACCTGTCGAATTTCGATCCATTCCAACACCGTCGCAAAAAATGACAAAAGTGCCCCTGGTGCGGTATTGCTTTGTTAATTTTCTGTCCAACACTTCTTCAACCTGACATAATTAATATGAAAATTAATTATTCGGAGGCCTAAACGAAGGAATTTGGCTTAAATCCCGTGATCACGAGTCTGTGCCCCAAGTCCAATTTCTCGGGCCGTTTCCAATCAACCTGTCGATTTCGGCCCATTTCGACACCGTCGCGACAAATGACAAAATCGCCCCTGGTTCGATTTTGCGTTGTTAATTTTCTGTCCAACACTTCTTCAACCTGACAAAATTATTACGAAAATTAATTATTCAGAGGTCTAAACAAATGAATTTGGCTTAAATCCTGTGATCTCGGGTCTGTGCCCCGAGTCCAACTTCTCGGGCCGTTTCCAATCAACATGCCAAATTTCGACTCATTCCAACACCGTCGCGACAAAGGACAAAATTGCCCCAGGTGCGGTTTTGCTTTGTTAATTTTTTGTCTAAAACATCTTCATCCTGACATAATTAATACGAAAATTAATTATTCGGAGGCCTAAACGAAGGAATTTGGCTAAAATCCCGTGATCCCGGGTTTGTGCCCCGAATCCAATTTCTCGGGCCGTTTCCAATCAACCTGTAAAATTTCGGCCCATTCCGACACCGTCGCGACAAATTTTAAAATTGCCCCTAATGCAATTTTGATTTTCTAATTTTCTGTCCAACACTTCTTCAACCTGACATAATTAATACGGAAATTAATTATTCGGAGACCTAAACGAAGGAATTTGGCTAAAATCCCGTGATCTCAAGTCTCTGCGCTGAGTCCAATTTCTCGGGCTGTTTCCAATCAACCTGCCAAATTTCGGTCCATTTAGACAACATCGCAACAAATGACAAAATTGCCCCTGGTGCGGCTTAGCGTTGTTAATTTTCTGTCCAACACTTCTTCAACCTGACATAATTAATACGAAAATTAATTATTTCGAGGCCTAAACGATGGAATTTGGATAAATCCTGTGATCCCGGGTCTGTGTCCATAGTCCAATTTCTCGGGCCGTTTCCAATCAACCTGCCAAATTTCGGCCCATTCCGACAATGTTGCGACAAATGACAAAATTACCGCTGGTGCGATTTTGCGTTGTTAATTTTCTGTCCAACACTTCTTTAACCTGACAAAATTAATATGAAAATTAACTATTCGGAGTCATAAAAGACGGAATTTGGCTAGATCCCATGATCCCGGGACTGTGACCCCGATTCCAATTTCTCGGGCCGTTTCTAATCAACCTGCCAAATTTCGCCCCATTTCAACACCGTCGTTACAAATTGACAAAATTACCCCTGGTGCGATTTTTATTTTTTAATTTTCTGTCCAACACTTCTTCAACCTGACATAATTAATACGAAAATTAATTATTTGGAGGCCTAAGCGATGGAATTTGGATATATCCCATGATCCCGGGTCTGTGCCCCGAGTCCAATTTCTCGCGCCGTTTCCAATCAACCTACCAAATTTCGGCCCATTCCGACACTATCACGACAAATGACAAAATTGCCCCCAGTGCAGTTTTACTTTGTTAATTTTCTGTCCAACACTTCTTCAACCTGACATAATTTATACAGAAATTAATTATTCGGAGGCCTAAACGAAGGAATTCGGCTAAAATCCCGTGACTTCGGTCTGTGCCCTGAGTCCAATTTCTCGGGCCGTTTCTAATCAACATGCCAAATTTCGGCCCATTCCGACACCGTCACGACAAATGACAAAATTGCCCATGGTGCGATTTTGCATCGTTAAATTTCTGTCCAACACATGTTCATCTTAACAAAATTAATGCGAAAATTAATTACTTGGAGGCCTAACTGAAGGAATTTAGCTAAAATCTCATGATCCCGGGTCTGTGAACAGAGTCCAATTTCTCGGGCTGTTTCCAATCAACCTTTCAAATTTTGGCCCATTCCGACATCGTCATGACAAATGGCAAAATTGCCCTTGGTGCGGTTTTGCGTTGCTAATTTTCTGTCCAACACTTCTTCAACCTGACATAATTAATACGAAAATTAATTATTCGGAGTCCTAAACGAAGGAATTAAGCTAAAATCACGTGATCCTGGGTCTGTGCCAGGGGTCCAATTTGTCAGGCCGCTTCCAATCAACTTGTCAAATTTCGGCCCATTCCGACACTGTCGAGACAAATGACAAAATTGCCCCTGGGGCGGTTTTGCTTTGTTAATTTTCTGTCCAACACTTCATCCTGACAAAATTAACATAGAAATTAATTATTCGGAGG